TGCGCCAGCCTTTTCTTCTCTCCTCCATGCAACACCTTGGGATGTGAGAAAGTGATGGCAGCTCTCTTCCCTCGGAGCTCGAAGTAATTGTAGAAGGGCTGATGAATTTCTTGAAGAAACACTTGCCACACACTGAGGAAACCATCTCCTAGCAGGATTTTACAAACCAAAGTAAACAAAGCACCCCAGGGGCGATTTCCTCCTTTTGCGCAGCTTACTTCTCAATTTACCTCAGAAGGGATCACAAACACACACAAGAATTACAGCAGAAATCATACTTGGTCTGGGAAAGACATTCCGGATGAAAAGAAGCAGAGAAATTGAAAGTGTTCAAAGGAAGGGACGGTCATTAAAATACCTGCCAGGCGCGCTGCCGTTCCCCAAACCAACCTTTCCTTCTTCCCCGTGAACTCAGAAATCTCTTCAGCATCTCTTTAAACACACATAGCCCTTAAAAAAAAAAAAAAGGAGGAAAAAAAGAAAGGAAAATAAAAGAACCCCCTCCACACACCTCAGGTCCCTCTTACCAACGCCTTTAAAACAACCTCATCCTTTCGACAGGGGGAGAATAAAGTTACTCTGCTAATTTCACTATTTGCTCGATCGAAGAGAGTTTAGTGTGTAAATGGATTTGTTTATTCCTGAGTTTTTCCGTCCCTCAGCTGGGCATTCGGAGAAAATGAGAGAGGTGTCTGAGACCACACTAATGAAAAAAAAAAAGAGAAAAATCAGCGTTTAGGGTTAAAGGGAATAATCAGCCCAGCTCAGACCCTGATAAAATGGGGGCGGGGGGCAGCAAATGCCCAATACTGCTTCCAATTTGCGTTTTTCCTTTGGGCTCCAAACCGTTAAGAAAGGATCACACACATATTTATTGCTCCTTTTGTCTCCTTCTTTCTAGCAGGATTCAACCCCCCGCGCGTGTGTGCGCGGTTCGGGGGGCTGTTGCTCTCTTTGGGAGAGTTTCGGCATTCCCAGGTGTGCTTTGCCTCGTCCCTGGCTCCCTGTACAGTTTCTCAGTTCTCCTGAAGGGTTTAATCTAGGTGTGAGGGTAGAAAAGTATTTAAATTCTACTGGGGAAATGAGGGGGGACGCGAGGGGGGGGGAGGAATTCCCTCTTACGGCAAGTTAGAAATAGCCCAAGCTTTCCAAAGGGATGTTTAAATTGGACTTAATGGAGCAATATCTCGACTCTTTTTTTTTTTTTTTCCCACTTTTTTTTTTTTTTTTTTTTTTTAAGCTGCGAGTCCTGAATCCTTTCATTAAACTGACATAGATTTCCAGAGATGGGGAAAAGGAGGGGGTATCTGGGGTGGACATTTTATGTAAATGAGTAAATCCGAAATGTATTACAAATCCACTGTAATAAAACTGACAGTTTTGACAGTATTGACAACATAAATATATGTTGGAACACAGCACTTTCAGACACTTAACCGATGAAGCAATAAAAAGATTCGACTACAATATTTCAAATAATCGACATTGATGTTTTGATACATCATTTTTATACCTCGAATCGATCTATCACTCTGTGACCGGTCAATTTTAAGTAAAAATCTGCTGCAATTATTTACGCTATTGCCAATGACGACCTAATAACTGTTTTCAATTAATTACAGCAAAACTAAGCATTATGAGGACTAACCGGCCGTATATTCCATTGTACGGTCCCTTGCATTTCTTGTATGGAGAGCAAACACATATATGTATATTGCATTCTCTTTGTGGGATCAAAAGAAAGACGTACAAAGGCGATCAAAATCTTTTAGGTAAAAAAAAAAAAAAATACCTCTCTTTGGGGAACATACCGGGGGCTCTCATCGCATACTTCTAGGAAACACGCTATAATATTTTGTCAGTTCTTTCTCTATGCAATACCAAACCGGACTCCTAAGATTCTAAGATATATTTCTTTTTTTTTTCCCCCTTTTCTCTTTGGGCTGCGCGCTGAATCCCACTTCAAACAATGGGCCGAGCAGCTCTTGCAAAAAGAAAAAAAAAAAAAAAAACAAAAAAAAAGAAAAGGGAGGGGGGGGGGGGTGGAGGGAAGGGAGATTCGTGCTTGGAGTGATCGCCTGTGTGTTGCGAGAGTCTCCATATCATTTCAAAAGAGGTAGGAGGATATTGTTCTCTCCGGACCGAGAACTCCAGTGTAAAAATGAGAGCGCTCCTCTTCTGGAGTTTTATAGGCAGCTGGAGAACAAAAGTGAATATTTTGAGTGAGCGAGACCAGAGGAGCTCCGAGGAGAGTTTAGAGCCTTCTCGGATGCTCTGATATTGCACTAAAGCGATTGAGTTTGCCCTAACTGTCCTTTTTTTGTTACGGTGTCACGTTGGAAAGATGGATTTTGTTAACGCTCCGGGCTTCCTTGAACAAATGCAAACTAGATTTTTAACTAACCCTGGTTCGGCGCGAGTGGGGAAACCCCGCGACAGGTATTTTTCTCCTCCTGGTTTTTACGGTGTAAACCGGCACCTGGGCTGTTTAGGGGCTTCGCTTTGACAACCCCCCCCCAAGACTAAAATATTAAGTAAATTTTGAAAAATTAATGAATTAATTAAAAAGAAAAAAAGTCAAAAAGCTCAGCGCTCGTCCGACATCAAGCCCCCAAAGCCCCCCGTGGGAGGAGGCGGCGTGGAGTCGGGGCTCCGTGTCCCGCACCGGGGGCTCCGCGCCGCTCCGCGCAGACCCACGCAGGGCCCGGAGCGGCAGTCCGGGCCCTGCGTGGGTCTGCGCGGAGCGGCGCGGAGCCCCCGGTGCGGGACACGGAGCCCCGACTCCACGCCGCCTCCTCCCACGGGGGGCTTTGGGGGCTTGATGTCGGACGAGCGCTGAGCTTTTTGACTTTTTTTCTTTTTAATTAATTCATTAATTTTTCAAAATTTACTTAATATTTTAGTCTTGGGGGGGGGTTGTCAAAGCGAAGCCCCTAAACAGCCCAGGTGCCGGTTTACACCGTAAAAACCAGGAGGAGAAAAATACCTGTCGCGGGGTTTCCCCACTCGCGCCGAACCAGGGTTAGTTAAAAATCTAGTTTGCATTTGTTCAAGGAAGCCCGGAGCGTTAACAAAATCCATCTTTCCAACGTGACACCGTAACAAAAAAAGGGTGGGTGAGTGGGTGGGAGGGGGTCAGGGTGAGGAGCTAAATGAACCCAGTGATCTGCAGAAACTAAAATGTGCATGATTTCACAGGGGCACCCGAGATGGGACCTCGAAAGTCCTGCAGCTGCGGGAAGTCGGAGGCGAATCAAAGTGGGCTGAGACGAATAAAGAGTGACTGAAGTTGTAAGAACCAACCGTAAAGCCAAAGGAAAGTGTGGTAAAGAGCGATTTTAGGGGTGGGAGTTTGAACTGTGGTATAATCCGGATTATAAAAAGGAAAAGGGACTATTTACACCCCGCACTTCACCTTGCGAGCAAAAGAAAAAGAAAAAATCCCGTGGATTTTTACTGCGGGGTCATGGTGATGTAATCCCGCAGCCACATTTTACCAGGCGGATTGCTTTCTTCATTAAATATGACACATTTCCTAGAATGATAGTTCAGGATTAAATGCCAGTTCAGATACTCAAAAATTTTCATGCCGTCCCGCGGTATCCTTAGCCCGTCCATGGGAAGTTTTGCCTCCAGATGTAGCCTATCTGTTTCCGAACACAATGGCATCATCCAAAAATACTTGAACTCAAAGCACAAACAAACAAACATTGAATAAAGTTACAAACAAGATTAAGCTTCGAGTTATTTGTCCCTGTAGCGAGGCGTCAATTGTTCTAACAGATGTAGGGACGCTAAGAGGATTTAAACCACGCGAATTTAATAAACCAGATTAGCAATAGGTGCTTTCCACAAATGCTAGGAACCGTAAAGTAAATCTAGCCTAAATTAACCATCAAACCGGAGCATCACCTACAAGGAGTGCAGAAAATTTCCGAAGGGGTCCAATAGGATTTCGTGCAAACCCGGCTTGGTTCCCCCCCAACCCCCTAAAGAAAAAAAAAAACTTTCTATTTGCATTAAATCTTGCGCTAGGCACACACGCGCGTACAAAACACTGGTTTAAGATCCCCGGTGGAATATATTCTTGAAATCTGAAATATTACCTGTTGTGCCATCCGCTTTTGCAGGCTGTGGAAAAAGAGAGAGAGAGAGAGCGAGCGAGCGAGTGAGGCATGTCTCAGAGCCAGCAAAGGACTGAGATGCCACACTTCGGAAAGGCTGATTGAAAACAGACTCTTCTTAAGTTTTAGAGGATTTTCTCTCTCACTCCCTCCGAGGGCTAAGAAGCCGATTTGGGAGTTTGAAGGGAATAGGTTTCAGCGTCCATATTTGTTCTGGTGCACTTGTAAAATGCGATTTGGAGAGGATCTTTAGCCCTCTGATTGTCTTTGCATTGTTTTTCTTGAAACGGATCTTTTGCCCTTAATGAATCCCCCCGCAGCTGGACAGCTCCTGCGCGGACACTGAGCGCGCTCACCCCACACTGACCCCAATTTGACACCACAAGATGAAATTTTACCGCCTGTTAAAACCATTTCCAGCCTCGGCAAAAGGAGCTGGCTGTTGACTGAGATGCACTTCCACACCGGACACCTCATTTCTCTTTGGACTTTTGAGCCGATCTTAA